GTGTGTGTGTGTGTGTGTGTGTGTGTGTGTGTGTGTGTGTGTGTGTGGTTCGTCACACGAGTGAATAGCAGGTGGTCGAGAGTATGGAGTCTACCCCATTTAATGTCCATCACATAAATGTGATAAAGGTGCCATTGTGTTTAAATTTTGGCCAACCTAATTTTCATTAGATGTGAGAATGCTTGATTTTTACCCTTGTTTAATAAATTTGTACAGTGTATTTTTTCCATTCCGGAGATTACACACCAATCTTNCTTCAATCATACCTGACTCCATACCAATTCGTTAGCCGTTTCACGCCCTCTGCATCATGTTGAACCACACTCCGGCTCGTCTGAATCCAAGCCAGTCTCAGCGCGGTCGCGAGCGACCGCCGCTCGCCTAACTCTAATGCAGGCGAAGATGCATGCGAAACCCGCGGGACGTGTCGCGTCATCCCTGAGTGCTGAGGATCGCTTTGTAATTCGTCTCTCTGTCTCGGCTGAATTAAATCCATCCAGCACCGACGTAGCGCCGTTTTTCGTGGGCAAGGTACTTGAATTATTTACCGTTTTGAGTGTCTTGTTGAATTATGAAAGAGATTCGAATTTATCAAAGCGAATGAATAAACACAAAGTGAATAGCTTAGTGCAAAAAACCATTTGGTATTTTATTAAGATACACCCTTGTGTTATGTTATTGTAACCGATCGGAATATGGATGACACTTGATTTCTTTCGTTAAATTAAGCAAATCATTTCAGGTGAACTGTTGCTTTCAGCACCCGATTATTCTCGTGTCACGGGACCCTATTTTTCAGACACACGAACTGGCTACCCAACCCTGAGTGACGAAGCGCATGGAGCTTAGGCGTGGTATTGAGTCGGACAACATCAAAGTTGCATACCCTCCAAATAAAACCAGTGGATTTACGAGACTGATATAGGACCATGTGGAGTGGTTCACTGTGTGCGTGTATGCACACTTTCCCATGATCAGTTCTACACTGACATAAGGGGCCTTATGTGGTTCGCCATTCCAAGTCCCGGGGCTTAGGTTACCGGCTTCCATCTGTGAGCAGCACGTCCTCGTGACTATGGGTGTTACCCCGTCTACCGTTCATCACTAAATTGTGTGTAATAAAGAAATACTGCGGGGGATTGTTGAAATGAGTTATCTTCATGAAATTGTGTTCTGACTACAAGGGGGAGTCTATTTCAAACATCAATCGGTTATCCTCTGTTGTTTACTCCCCAATGCATACCCTAGGTTCTCTGGCGACCGAATTTCATAAGGAATCCTCAAACCTATCTTCAATTCGATTGTGTTTATTCTTCAAGTTGGTTTGCACCCATCAGTTATCTATATTTCAACATGCACGATACTGACTGACTGTTTATCTGTGTGATATTCTTTTACAGTTTTGGCCTCTAGGAAAGGTGTTGGACTTTGCTCAGCAACATTTTGCCGTGAAAGCGCCACCGAGTGGTACGGTAAGTGATTCTTTTTTTGCTCAAATACCGTGCCAGATCATTGAGCTTTACGTTGATAATATTCCTAAATAATTCTTCTCGTATGCGTACTAATGCATGTGTATGTGTCATGTACAGTCAATATCTCATTCATCAGTGAAGAGTGTTGGATGCACTTCGCACAATTCTCTCATCCACCCAACCCATTGGGACTGAAACCCGCTCACCACGGGTTAGTAATCCGACACGCTAATTACTTGGGTTATTCGGGCTGTCTCAGTGCAATTTGTTACACTTCAACTNCAACTTGGCCTGTTGTAGATAGCGCTCAATCACGAGAATGACAGTTTTGCAGTGCTTCTCTGGCTGGGCGGTGGTGGCCCGGTGGTAACGTCGCCACCTCGGAGGACGTGTGTTCGAACCCCACCACCATCGCCTGACTTTCCCCATGGCAGCCCTTTGATTGGCCGCTTCCCCTTCCCGAAAATTGTATCATTGTGTATTCAACAGAAGGAAGTAAAATTAAGAAGAATCAACAAGGTAAGTACACCTCCATAGCCAGCGATCAGTGAAGTTGGGTTCACTGTATCTCACTGTAAAATGATAATGATGATTATTTTTATGTAAGATCTGAAGGAAAAGAAATAATCATTCCATGGGAAACTACACATGTTGGTATATCATTTGTCTGCAAAGAAGACCAAAAGAAATTAGTGAAGTATCATCCCAAAATGATTTATGATAATATGTTCTCGGCTGTGTTCAACACTAGTGTCTCCTGATTTATTCACGGCACACTACTCTGACTTTTCATGGACCTCAGTGCGTATTCGAAGTTCGGATGTGAACGGATTCATCTGAGGAACGCGCGCACACACACGCAGTCGGCCGTGTTGTTTTGGTCTAAACTTATATCCCCGTAGCCTGGTATTCTGAAAGCACCAGTAAATATGCAAATACACACATGTTCAGAGACAGTATGCATGTGGTGCCATCTTTTTGCAAGCTGGTGATGCAGATCCGTCAACAGAATCTGAACCCGAATCCATGGCGCTTAACAGATAGCTTAAACTGGGTAAAATGTAGGAGTCGAGTCAGACGCTGCACAAAAAGCTTGATTCCAACAACTCGCAACGACACAATACTACTGATATTTAGAATTAATTGTCAGTTTGCCACACGGATGCTTATATCGGCAATCGGATGAGTCTGTTTACTACGCCTACACGGATGATAAATAACGATGATGACAAAGGAACTTTCGGAGATGATTCACTTCCGCGATCGACGGTGGTGCTCTTCGGCCGAGAGTACAAATAACCTGTCTGTCTGTTGGTCACTGCTTGTTATGAGGATGCCAACCATGAACTCTGATCAGCCTGTCAATTGAGGAATTCGTCGTGTCGGTCTTACTCCATTCTCTTTGCCCCGTTCACGACCGTCATCGAGCAATTAGAGTTCCATATACGTCGATGGCAATAATGACAGTACAGAAAACTTCTACAGCTAGCCCATAAATGGAAGTTGTATCCTTGCCTTATTTATCATGCTGAATTAGAACGTGGTATTATTGTTACACCGAAACAGACGCGAAATAATCAACCTCCGGGGGTGCAGAAAAGCCCGATGTTTCGAAAAAGGTAGCTTTTCGCTCATCTTCCTCAGTCTGTTTTGTTCGTACTGTGAATGGTACATAGCACGCCAGGATTGAAAGTAAACTTCTATTCGTGAAGTCGAACTACATAGATGTTGTGCAAAGATTCCGATTGATCATACACTATGCTTTCATTTCTATGTTTTTACATTCCGCTTCACCTTTGTTGTGCGCGTCGCACATTGCAACACGTTAGCCAAGACTCTAATGCCACTAAAACTTGAACTTTCGTCTGATGTCATCCTGCTCTCTTTGCCCCACCCTCCGGTCTCCTTCCATAGTCCCTTGCACTTTTTCATATCTCGGATGAATCGATAGACCTGTCGGGTAATCCATGTCCTGACAAGCTGGATCTAGACAAAACAGTCGAGGCCTGTGTTCGCGATGGGAAACTGAACGAGGCGTGCCTGTTAAAATTGTCCCCTGCAAAATGAAAATGGCGATCAACCGGTGAACACTACTCCGTGCAGAAACCCCGATCTCACTTTTTTCTAAATATTATTTCCCGCCACGGAATATGTACGTGGAATTTGCTGTTGTTGGCGAGTGCAGACAAAAAAATGTTTTGTGCATTGGTTCGTCTTTTTCCTTTCTATTTGGTTCGTCTATTTGAACATCGTTAACGTCCTTAAAGCGGATTCCTAAATACAGCAAAACAAGAATACATACGATGTGGGAACAGCAGGCAGTTGTTGATTACTTTCCTTCGACCACTGAGCAGTTGTCCATACCGATTTTCAGAGCATACTTATCTATCATGGTTTAATTATGTAATTCTTTCAGACATTTATCGGACTCTTGGCAGTTAGTCGATGGCGACAATTTTAGCTCCCCCGAGAAGACCAGCGTCTATACATTCTCGAATTCAAATGAACCCACCAATCATTTTCTAACAGAAATCCCACCGTCATGCGTCACCTGTCACATCGTCTGTCCAGTCAGGAGGAACTGACTTCTCCATCAACGGACAAAAAGTAGTTCTTGAGTGAGTTGCCGAGCGAGAATGAAGGTTTTGGTGGAGTGTGAATGTTTGTTCCCTCTCCCTTGGGGGAACACTATACCCTTGACCGTCGATCGCGTGAGCTTTATACGAGAATGGGCGAATCTGGAGGTAATTGACTTCGGTCGGCCGTTTAAGAAAGTGAGTCCTTTCTATATGGATCGACAAATCGGTTACCATGCTCACGCGTGGGTCCTCACTAGACTAAGGAGTACATACCAACGAGACCGAGGTTGTCTCGACTTTCACCGTCTTCTGAACGAAATGGGACTGCTTATCTAAGTTTGGCGTCGTGATAGATCCGGTCCACTAAGTGATGCGCGAAGCACCGGCCACTGAGTGATTCCTGTTGGAATGCGGAGCACCCCCCGGGAAATGCGGGAACCCATTACGGCTGATCTGTGCTGTTGGTTTTAATTAGAATCAAAGCGAAGCGGGATGACCATCTGAAAAAGCCTCACTATGGTTTGTATCTATATCTTATATTATTAGAACACACGTACGCATTGATGCACATTGATCCCAGCAAAGCAACGAGTCCACGATTTGCAGGTATGTGGAAAACTGGCAGGTTTCTCAAATAGAACAGGTGAATTTTTTCGGCGGGGGGGGGATCACAACCCCGGAACCTGGCTCACATGGTGGCGGGGTGGTGTGTAAGAACCACAATTCATTAGGAGCAGGATCCAGCTGATCGGCTGAAATACACCGTTTAGCCGGAGTCAGACGTTAAAGGTGCCTAATAAATATAGTGATAACTGCTACAACCTGGAAGGTGTGCGGTTCTTAGCCACTTCTGGGCTAGTTGGTTTATAACCAGTTGCTGGTGGTTTCCACATCGGATATTGACGTCACCCTCTCACGTTAGTGAAGAAACAGCCGCTTATAAGAAAGAAGTAGGGCTTTTTAAACAGAAGTGCTTCGTTGCGCTTTGTCACATGGGAGCATTTCGCGAGGTGCTGGAGAAAGGTGACCTGAAACACGTCCCGACAATATTGAGGTTTTCGAAGGCATCTCATCTGTAAGCCCTCTACGCTGCTCTGAACGGTGAAATGATTCTCGTTCACTCCAATCGCATCATTTTGTCATTGACTGACTTTTGAAATAAAAAATAAATATTATACGTACTAGGTAAAATGGCATTGTAGTTCAAACTAGATTACGTGACACTTATGGGATTTGTCGGAAAAAATACAGTTGTGCTCTTATCGAGACTTAGAGCGAATGGGTGTGCGTGTTCCACCTTCCATGAAATCAATTGGACAATATCCTAATGTTCGTAATGAAATCTAAATCCGTACAGGGAAACTGTCTACAACTGTGAAATTCACTTTGATTCCATCATGCTATGAAGGAAAAAAACATTTTCTAAAATTACTCATCTTCCGTAACCATACAAGACGGTAATGTTGGAGGGCAACTCTGGTTTCGGTTCGAGCACAGACATCGAAGGCAAATAGAATAAAGCGTAACTTACCTCCAATAAAACATCTACTCTTCAGCTCTCGATGTTTGTAATTGCCCAAACTTAAGTATGAGCTTAAAATTACAGATTAACTTTGAGAAATGCCCAAAACCCGTGCACCAAAGTTTACTCGTTCTTTTTTGTTGTATCGACAGTGCAGGATTGTCCATACAAGGAAGTAGTTCAAGGATGGCATGTCGCAAACTCTCGTACCAAATATATCCGACCAGCTCTGTGTGTATTGAATGGACGTACTCCAGCTGTAAGTGCCTTAAGCTGCTCGTCGATGGTGCTGGTTAGTTGGGTCTTTTCACTTCCTGGATAGACCGTTCACGTTAGATCGGGAAGAAAGGATCGTTGTTTCGTCCAGGGGGTTGCCTCGATCAGTTATCAAAAGAAATATGACGCTTTAGACGATAAGACCTGGCGTTCTAAATTCTCACTCCGTAGGGCAAACTGGATGATTTTGAATGTTGTCCGTGCGCCGTCTTTCATCTTCTAATGTGTCAGTCGCGACTATATTGATTTGAGATGAATGCGTTCTCAGACGAGTCATCAGGTAGAAACAACCTGACTGGCCCTCTCATTTTCTTTGAATGCGCCGCCACACTATATTACTGGATTTGTCGCCAACTATTTAACCTACTTTTTCTCTTCCCATTCAAAGTGGACTTAAAATTTTTGGGATACGTGTGACGATGAGGTGGCAGACAATTTCGACAATGAAAAACCAGAAACTTGAATCAGCTAGCAGTACTATCCAGTATCCCAAAGATCACTCTCGTAGTTCTCAAGGGAAATTCATTCGTAAATACGAGTTCGTTTATATTTTGTATTGATTCTGGGCGGTCATCCTTCTCTATTGAATCAGGTGTGGTTAAAAAATATTCATAAACGTGAATTCCGGAGCTGTTTCGGATTCATTTCTTCACCAGTCAACTTTGAAGCGACTCGTTCCGTGACATTGCATCGGT